AGTGCTACTGGGATGTAACTTTGATAAGGTTTGTGCATTCTATGGGGCCAAAATCTCACTGGAATCGCACCAAAGTAGTACAGGAACCTTTTAAAAAATTGCTTTGTGCTTAGTCGCATTGATGTGAATGGACACCATTGAAAAGAATGGGGGAGATTTACTAAAACTGGTGCACAGAAAATCTGATACAGCTGTGTATGGTAGCCAATCAGCTTCTAACTTCAGCTTGTTCAGATAAGCTTTGTCAATAAAACCTAAAAGCCGATTGGTTTCTAAGCAGAGCTGCACCAGAAATAACTCCCAATTTGATTTCCCTAATCATGTGATTCTCTGAGACTCAAGTCGTAACTGAAATCGCACTAGTGTGAATCAGGCCTGAAGGATAACTTTATATTTAGAAATTTCAAGCAGTGTTATCAACCTTGCCTGAATTCTCCTAGCTGGACCACATAACTCCCCAATCCACCACAACATATGGGGAAGGTGTTCTGTAATCCAGCAGGGCATGACAGCCAAGGCTGACAATGCTTGGAATTTCATTGTAGAAGAGGCACTGTATTAACAGCACACTACAGAAATTTAGGGGCTCACTGGATTTCTGGCAGGATCAACAGGTATTTTTCTATAATAGCAGCATTTCAAAGGGACAAAATGTAAATGAAATGAATAGCATCTACCCCTGATTGAGTACCTATGGATTTAAGTTTCAGTACTATATGTGTATAAAGGAAGTATCAAAAAGGTACCTTTAGTGGTTGTGCATCATGCTCATCTGAATCTCGGCATTCAATCATGACTGCAATATTTCTAGCCTGAAGGGACATAATTTAAAAAAAAATGTACTAATGAATAGGAAAGATTGCATCCCAATATTCTCATCCCTATCCGTTAGTCTTTGCTTACCTTGGCAAAAGATTTTTGATTATCGTACTTTAACAGCAGAGGGTAAACATAGAAATGGTTTCGGTAGGTAGTGAAGGGGTAGCAATATTTTATTACTTCCGGCACAAATTCCTCCACTTCCACAGCAACCCTCTGATTTTCTTTATTGTACGGTCTGACCGGGATATAGGAAGAAGTGACACAATCTGACAGGGAAACAGAATGACAGTTCATAGACATTCATTCAAAACATTCAATCTGGTCATACATAATAATTTGAGATAAAAAGGCTGTTTTTTACAGGACACATCATCTCCCAAATCCCTGACTTCGCTATCATTGAGAGAGGAATACCTCCTCACGATTTCAGCTTAGTACATTGAGCATAATGAAATAAACATTTCTCAGCAATATATAAAGTCAATAATGTTCAACTGCAGGCTTCACCTTCCTCTTCAGCCAGCTGACATCAGGAACAGGATCCCCACAGTCATGAACTACTCTATATCCAACACCTCGAATGAAAAGGGGGGGGGAACCACTTACCATAAAAGCCAAGTCAACCAGGTGAAACTTGCCTGTGCACTGAATTAACAAATAATTTACTGAGTTTTATTCCCCTGCATATTTTTAACGGATAAGTTCACCTTCGGAACATATTACATGTTCCACCCATTTTTAGGGTGGAACGTGTAACATGTTTCAGCATCTGCAGCCTCTCCTCCCTCCCTGTGATAGTGGAAGGGGATCTTCTCACCATGCCCGCTGTAACAATTTGAAAAGAATGCACCTGTACAGTGCTCCGCCCACACACCCGCATCATTCATTCACAGCTTCCTGTGAATGAATGCCTACAAGTACCATCAGCCATTGCAGCTGACGACTTATTGTTCTCAATGACCTGCAAAGATGCTGGTGAGCACCCTTGTAGTCCTCTGAGCTTCCTGTATGAGGTACGGGCAGAGAGCTAGCCTGAGAGTTTTCAGAAGCCTGAGATTGCACCCATTATCTGCTGACCACGGGTGCAATGCTCTGCAGGATCCTTAGAAAAAAAACAATACTTGCACATTCTTTTACCTGCAATAAAAGTGCATTTATTATTTCTTTTCAAAACATAAGTGTAGTCTTTAAAATTTGTACCCCAACACTTGCAGCTTAGAACTTTCAACGCTGCTGGCTCCTGCTCACTCAGTGCTGCTTCCCTAAACATCTGGTTTTAACAGGAGAGTTAGCAGTGGACAGTGCAGTTTTAAACCAATCTGTTAACTAGGAGAAGGGAGGAGGAAGGAGGAGGGATAAGCAGGGAGTGCCTTGTTTTTATTATAGCACAGGGTCACAACTCTAGTGCCTGCATACAAGGGTGGCTCCATAGGATGCTGCAAGACAAAGGAGTCACCTGGAAACTGGAAACCTGGAGCAACAGACACAGTACCAACTTAAATTGGAACAAAGGCAAGGAGAAAACAATAAAGAAGCTGTACACTCAATAAGAGATAAATTAGCTGCTGAAAGTGCTTACAAACTGAGTGTTTAAAAGATAAGTTTACCTTTGGGAACATGTTACATATTCCACCTGTTTTTAGTAACATGTAAACATGTTCCCAATGCTGCAGCTGCTGCCCTCTTCCCCCCCCAGACAAAAGTACAGGGAGAAGTTCTCCGTACTAGCTGTTACTTTTTAAAAACACACCCACATGACTGTGTCATGCATTCATAGTGTTCTGTGAATGAATGAACCACAACTCCTGCCAGCCTAAGCGGCTGTCGGCTTGTAGTTCTCAATGAACTACCACGGAGCTGTGGAGCCCCTTGGTAGTTCATTAAATCTTCCTGTCAGTATATCTCCGTATGGAAGCAGATATACTGACAGGTCTGCAGGAGACCTGCATGGCACCAGCAATCTGCTGATCACTGGTACCATGCTTTACAGGCTCCTGCAACCAAAAATAATAAATGCACATTTTTTTACCTGCAAAAAAAATATTTATTTATTATTTTTGGACAAAAGGTGGGCTTATCCTTTTATATCGGTTTAAAGTGTATGTAAACACTAACAAAGAGCTTCTATTTATTGATTATTTGCTCTGTTAAATATACAACTGAGGACTGTAAATTCAAATGTCAGAAATTCAGAAATGTCTTTTGCACATGTTATTTCAAGTAGTCCACTTAGCCTTCCTAGTTGTGATCTTGGGAATACAGAATGATTAGTGTCTACCTTGTGGAGATGAGAGAGTGGGTGGGATTAAGTAGTTTGGGAAAAGACAATTGGATGGGGCGGTCATCTTCCAAGCTCACAACAGGACTTAGCAGCTGAGTGCATTTCTGGCAGATCAACAGGCACTGGATTTTTCTGTGCTTCTCTGGCCTTTAAAGTTTTGTAACGTGCATATATTGCAGAGATGTACCACATACTGTATTTTTTTTTTTTATTTTGCTCTGACAAACACTTTAATTTTCTACAAATGGGGAGAAGTAATCATTTAATAGAGGCAGAGACTTTCCAAAATGTTAGAAAATCTCTTGTAACATTTGCAGCTTAGAAATTCTCCTTCATGCTTCAAAGGAAATAGCTACACACCATTGTCTGATTCTTCAACCTCCTGAAGTCTAAGCCAGGGGCGGACTGACCAATTGGAAACTCGGGCACTGCCTGAGGGCTCGGGGTCAGTAGGGGGCCCCATGAGATGCCCCTGGTACCTTTTTCATAGGCTTTTTTGAGTTTGGGCAAGCTCACAGGGGCCACATTATCCCCTATTGCCCGGGGGCCCCATGAGTTGTCAGTCCACCTCTGGTCTAAGCATATACTCCAGAGATCTATTGTTTTCTTCATTGCACGTTGGAAGAAAATGATGTATCTTCCTTGAAGTAGAACAGCAAATATGCAAATGTAGTACCCCACATACTTACAAACTACATGTATACTACTATGTATACATTTTTTCACCCAAATTCCATACAATTTCACTCTGAAAAAACACATTTTTCAAATTAAATCCCATTAAATGTGTGTGAATCTTGGGTGAAAACATTTCTTAACATACCTGCGCTCAGCCCCTTTAATACTACATTTTAAAAGGAAAGTATACCCGTATATAATGAAGAGCTTAGAGGCTCCAATCAGAAGAGAGAGCTAGAGTCATGTCTTGTCATGTGTCAGAACAGGGAATGCTGCCATTGCCTCATAATAAATGGACATATTTTTAATTTGTTCAGGAATGCTCATCTACTTTGAAAGCTTGTGGCTGTTTCAGCGATTCCACCCTGATGTTGTTTCATTTGGCAGAGGACTCATTCACTTTATCACATGCTGCTTGAATAAAAACTAAACAGCTTCTGATGACTTAATTTTAATCTGAAGTACATTTGCTTTTGAATTATATGTGACATAATGAAACCCCAAAAGGCCTTGATAATAGAGTACAAAGTACAAAATATTCAGGCAAAGTGCGGTAACCTGCAGCAACCAATAAGAATTCATGATACTAAAGGCAGATCATCACAAAATTGACTCTGATTGGTTGCTATGTGTAATGGACTGTTCTCTGCAATGTTTTATTGAATTGGCTCTCATTCACACACTGCCTGATGTTCTAAATAAATACTTTTTATGTTTAAATGTACAAATGTACAAAAAAGTATACAATATGTAGAAAAAGATATTTCCCTTTCTGAACAATCCACTTGGTGAAACATGTACAAGTACAGTACGTGTTCCTGGAATAGTAACACATTTTATCCCTAGAGAGGAGGCAGATTTATTTTAACATTTTTCAACGTTCCACTGTGATTGGCAGTCTCTACATAGGAAGAAACTTGGGAATTCCAGGAACTTTAATAGAGGTCAGCAAAAGCTATGTGTGCTGTATGGGAAAAACGTCTTACTCTACTTTATTAACACAAAGTGGACGTTATCCTCTTTATGAGCAGTTACCACTACACACAGTGGGGGCCCTACTGAGCAATATAGAGTGGGGGATTCTAGATGCATGTATACAGAACATTATTGAAAAACAATAGGGCCAGCACTCACACAGTAGTATTTTCCCATTTTTTTATCAGTAGTACTTACTGGAAAAATCTAGCGGAACACAGTCTATAGAAACATCCAGGTGTCCAGGAATCACTTGTAGCTTGGTCTTTTCTGGTCTGTGACAGACAAGGGATAAATATCACTGTGAGTATTTGTAATGTTAGGTGTTTGATCTCAGAACTGAATGATCAGATCCTGAAGAGATCTAAAATTACCTGCCACTGATCATCTTAAAGTGGACTTTCACTCAATTGATGCTCTAGACATCACTGTACTCTCCCTCTGCTCAGCAATCAAAAACAGATTTTCTTTTTCATTTGTTTACCTTTTTTTATATTGTTTTGTACTACAGGCCTGCCTACTGGGTTGTGCATGTCACATATCACCGCCAGATACAGAAACAGGGACCTAAAGGGGCCAGTTGGTGGAGCCAGAGTGCATCCTCTAGACTCAATTGCACAAACCCAAATGTACTTTTCCTTTAACAGTCCCTGTCCATTACTGGTGTGACCATCCCCTGCTGGGTGCCACTCTTCAGCCATCTTCACTGGCCAGTGAGGTATGTCGTCACTCCTGCGCAAGTGCATGAGTCAGTAATCCTGGCTTACATGGACCGTACAGGCGATGTAAGCTAAGCTGTGCATGTGCAACTTAGTGTACATGGTGGAGAATACAGCAAGCAGGCAGACAGGTGTATTTTATTGCAGAAGAGAGACTGCATGTTATTGTCTAAGAGCCTGCTTGTTTGCAGTATGTGGCAGTGGAACTTTAGTTTCGCTTCAAGTTAATTTGTGATGAACCTAAGGAAACTGAATATATAGGTGTTTTAGGTCTTCTAACATAGTACTAGTGAAATCACACAATCAAAGAGAGTAGACAAAAAACATTTACTAATAACAGATGACAGGTTACAGAAAATAGCAATCTTAGTTCTCATTCTTAGGGTCAGTCTGTCTCAGTGAGAGCACCCAAATCGTGTTTCCACTACTTTCACCAACGAGTGAGTATCATGGCGAGTCCAAGTTTGGAAGAAATTGTGCAAGGATAGGCAGCTATCTCTACCCAGTGGTGTATTTAGATTTTGTGCTGCCCTAGGCAAAACAAAAATCGGCACCCCCCCACAGAGAGAGCCTGACATTGACCAACAACACCCCTGGCTCTCACCCAAGACAGCCTTCCACTACCACTGCCCCCCGTACACCAGCCACCATCCCCCATGCCGAGAGAGAGAAAGACACTCACCTTCACTCCGGACATCCCCAGGAACAAGAGCAGGGGCTGTGCATATACTGTCATGAAATCGGCAGCCTCTCTTGAAACCCACCAGGTCCCCATGCTGCGTGTGTTCCTTCTCCTGAGGGGCAGTGCTTTCCCGCCTGAAAAATGCTGCCCTAGGCAAATGCCTTGTGGTAAATACACCCCTGTATCTACATGCCCTTTCATTCTTGTGGAAATATCTTGCCAACTGAAAACCAGCCTAAGGAGAACTATGACTAACCATTCCAGAAAGAATAAATCAAACAGATGTAACAGGCCAGACAAGCACATACTTCCTGTATTCATCCAGCAACTTGAGCAGGTCTTCAATGGAAAGTTTGCTGCTGTCCTGTTTGTAAAGAGGAGAAAACTTCCCTTCGATGTCCAGCGTCCCCTGAGTGTCCTTGAATACTGGCCTTAAAAAAAACACAATCATTTACACTCAAAAAAAAAAAAAAACCCATTATGGGTTAAACATCTAGTTTTCTGAATGCTACAAAGCTTATAATTTCCTACTGACTTACATATTGCATTTTAATTTCCTAAATAGAATAATTACATAATATGCATTTAATACGAGGTGCTTCAATGACATTTAGTTTGCAGAGCACACTGGTATTTCTTATCAGATAGCAGTGTTCGCCTTTTGACTCTCAGTCTAGATGAAAATGAAGACAGCCCCATGTGAGGTGCTGTAATCTTTAATTATGGAACTTAACACTGACATTTCAGGGCCACGCTAAACCCCTTCATCACAGTGACAGACTGTGAGGTAATCCTCCTGCCTGCACTGGAACAAATGTAAAGTTCCCATGGGTTAAAATTATGTCTCATTCTGGCAGTGCCCTTTGACAATAGGCAGTCCTAAATGCCTGTACTTCCTGTGGGATCTCCTTTAGGCAGCCCACAGATTACGCGATTTTCTTTCCTTCTACCATGGGAGGAAGGAAAGAAAATTGCTTGATTCCTCCATCAACAATGAATCCCATCACTGCTGGCACCTATAGCTGCCAGCACTGATTTCATGAAAAAAATATGACAGGCTGGCTGTACTAAAGCCGATCGACTTTAGTACAACCGGCCTGCCCATAGTTGGATTGAATCTATGCCAGTCCCTGCTGAACTGGACGAGATTTGCTCCGTCTATGACCGTCTTGCAAAATGCAGAGTAATAACAAGGATCTTGTTGTTCTAGGCCAATTCCTCTAGTGCTTTATTATAACAGCAAAGGACCAAGCAACCTCTGATGCCCATGAGCCATTTTACAGTTCTGCATACCAGCCAATGACATTTCACAGAATTAAAAAAACAATTACCTTGCAGCCCAGGCAAATGGCATCCTGTAATGTCCAAGGCGACTACATACTTGTTTAGCTATTTTGTGCACTTTCTGTGCTGTCTGAGAAAAAGAAAAAGAAGAATATAAATGCATAATACACAAGCCTGGAGCTTCAATAAATTTCCCTGTAGCTGTGGTCAAACACTTTAAACAGTTTCTATTGGTCTGAGTCTCTTCATATGCTGAGAACCAAATGTAAATGAGAATATATATATAAATTGGCAGATGATGGAAAGGTTTTATTGCGATCGGTGTCCACACTGGGGAGACTCAATCTCTTTATTTGTCCTGGTGACCATTGTCACTAAGACAGAAAGGCATGGAAAATCCTTATTACCTTTTGTATCACTTGACCCTCCCTTTTAGATTGTACATTCTAAGAAGCAGGGCCCTCTGATTCCTTCTGTATTGATTTCTATTGTAACTGTACCAGGGGCGGACTGACCATTTGGAAACTTGGGCATTGCCCAAGGGGCCGGGATCAGTAGGGGCCCCATGAGATGCCCCTGGTACCTTTTTCATAGGCTTTTTTGAGTTTGGGCAAGGACACAGGGGCCCCATGATCCCCTATTGCCCAGGGGCCCATGAGTTGTCAGTCTGCCCCTGAACTGTACTGTCTTCCCTCATGTTGTAAAGCACTGCGCAAACTGTTGGTGCTATATATATCCAATATAATAATATTTCAAAAATGTACAGGTGTGACCAGAGCAAGTGGTGAGGCAAAACTGCTTAAGAGTACAGCTTGTCATATGCTGAACGAAAGTTGGTTTTCAATGCACCAGAATTCTTGGCACCCTGTCAGAATTAAGATGTTAAGCATATGTTTCTAAGCTATTACAAGCTTATTGAAACTGGCCTTTAGAGTCTTTGCTGTGATCTTGGAGGATCTTCATGAATTAATTACTTTACAGTACAAGCACATAGAGAAGTCAGAATGGATAGTTCTACAGCTCTTTGACTGCAGGCTAAGAATATGTAAATAATCTAATATCAATAGTCTGGACACACATGAGCTCACATTTAGGGTCCTATACATTCAGGCATGTATGCCCAGAACACAGCTACCTAGCATTCTGGGCATACTGAAAGTCCCTGAATGCAAAGGGCCCTACACATGAATACCACTCACTACAGCAGCTAGCAGCTGAGTATTTCAGCTTGTGATTGACTTTGACTGGTTGCAGTCAGCAATACTGCACCTGTCCTTCCAGAGTGCACAAAAATGGCAGCATTGGATGCAAGGGACTAAATGCCCAATGTGTATGTGGCCTAAATCCAAAGAACTGACATGAAATGCAAGCTATTCTATAAAAAAAACGACATGATTATCATTTACCTTGTCACACTGCTACTCTCCAAAAATAAGCAAAGATACATTTACTTTTCAAGCAAAGGAATCAGATGTGGTAAATAATATTTTGCTGTATACACTTACAAACCTTCTGATAGAAGACCTGCACTTTATGTATAAGTGTCCTTTATTTATATACATAACTTTCATTCCCCCAGTATAGCTAGAAAGGAAATGCTTGTTTAAACAGGAAGATATTCATTTGATGCAAAGGAAGTTATTGAATAACAGCAAGGAAGGAAGCTCATCAGTGTAAGAATCTATTCATAAACAATGAAGTGAAATAATTAATTCACTTGCTAACAAATCATAGGCTTTCTGGAAAAATCTGCAGTTCACAATATTACCTTAGTTGGGTCAGAATTCTTGATGTACGGCTCTGCACAATGTGTGATATTCCCCTGTAATACTTTTTCCACACGAGCTACCAGGAAAATCTCAGGATGTGGATTTGTTACTGAAAATATTCCCTAAAACCAAGAGAAAGAAACATATGAGTAGAAATATGTAATCTCCCCTCCACTCTGTCAAACAGCAGGGTTATAACAAATTACATTTATATAGTAACTATTGTCCCCTGAATATCTGATTTTACTGCTACAGTGGGGAAAATAATTATTTGATCTCCTGCAGATTTTGTAAGTTTGCCTACTAACAAAGAAATGAAGGGTCTATCATTTTTATCATAGGTGTTTTATAAATGATAGAGACAGAATTTAAAAAATCCAGAAAAAACACGATACAAATGTTATAAATTGAGTTGCAGTTCCGTGAGTAAAATAAGTATTTGATCCCCAAACAAAACATGACTTAGTACTTGGTGGTGAAACCCTTGTTGGCAAACACTGAGGTAAGACATTTCTTGTAGTTGGTTATCAGGTTTGCACACATCTCAGGAGGGATTTTGATCCACTCTTCTTTACAGATCTTCTCTAAATCCTTAAGGTTTCTTGTCTGTGACTTAGCAACTCAAAATTTCAGCTCCCTCCATAAATTTTCTATAGGATTACGGTCTGGAGACTGGCTAGGCCATTGCATGACCTTAATGTTCTTCTTCTTGAGCCACTCCTTTGTTGCCTTGGCGGTATGTTTTGGGTCAATGTCATGCTGGAAGACTCATCCATGACCCATCTGCAGTATTCTGGCTGAGGGAAGAAGGTTCTCATCCAAGGTTTTACAATACATGGCCCCATCTATTGGCCCCTCAATGCTGCAAAGTCAGCATGTACCTTTAGCAGAGAAACAGCCCCAAAGCATAATGTTTCCACCTCCGTGCATGACTGTAAGGATGGTGTTCTTAGGGTCATACTCAGCATTTTTCTTCCTCCAAACACAGCGGGTCGAGCTAATGCCAAAGAGCTTAATTTTGGTCTCATCTGACCACAGCACTTTCTCCCAATCCTTCCCTTAATCATTTAGATGTTCACTGACAAACTTCAGATGGGCCTGTACATGTGCCTTATTGAGGAGGGGGACCCTGCAGGCACTTTTAACTCATGGTGGAGTATTCTGTTACCAATGGTTTAGTTGGTGAGAATGGTCCTAACTGCCTTGAGATCATTCACAAGCTCTTCCCATGTTGGGAATCTGGGCCGATTCCTCACTTTTCTCATGATTATCCTTAGCCCATGAGGCGAAAACTTGCATGGAGCTCCAGACCGAGGGCAATTGATGATTATTTTGTATTTCTTTCATTTGTGAATAATCGCTTCAACAGTTGTCTCCTCACCAAGCTTCTTGCTGATAGTCTTGAAGGCTATTCCAGCCTTGTGCAGGTCTACAATCTTGTCCCTGACGTCCTTTGTGAGGTTTGAATGGAAGAAAGATTCTGTGGACAGGTGTCCTTTATATACATAACATGTTGTCATTAGGAGCACCTTCTTAAACTGACAGGACTAATCTTTGTACCGCATGAGCACATAGCCAGTCTGTTAGAGCCAGAATTGTTGGTTGGTAGGGGATCAAATAGTTATTTTACGCACTAAACTGCTACTCAATTTATAACATTTGTATCATGTGTTTCTTCTCAATGTTTGGGTTGATATTCTGTCTCTCATTTAAAATACACCTATGATAAAAATGATAAGACTCTTCATTTCTTTGCAAGTGGGCAAACCTACAAAATCTGCAGGCGATCAAATAATGATGTTCCACACTGTATATACTACTGCCATTAAATGGGAAAAAAGAGTGGAATATACAGTAATCTCACCGATCTGCTATAGTAAATTCTAATCTGATTGTGCCAATAATGACTATTTTAATTAGTTTAGTAAGGCTAGCCATTTATAAATCACAGATTCCCTCATCCACACATGGATGGCGGAATCTCCCCTGCCCGCTATTGTATTCTGACAGTCACTTTTCCTGCAGCTGTCAAATACCCAAACAGTGACTGAGCACCTGATTGGCTGCAGTCACAAAACATAATCAACATTTGACCAAGTTGCTTTTTCTCTGCAACAGAAATCCAGTTCCCTTTCAGTTTTTGCCTTTCACAGCTCCAAACATCTCACTGATACCATCCTTCCTATATGCGTTGGACATACAGGTAGACTTTTCATGCAAAGGTCCTGATTTATCAAGCCTCTAAAGCATTTAATGCATCCTCAATAATTCTTAAAGCATGTTAAAATGACATGTGATAATACTGGAGGACAGGCCACTTTAGCATAAATATAATTTTAAACATTGTTTCCAATATTTTTAAATCTGCACCTTTCATTAACCAGTTGAGGACACTGGATGTGCTACACACATCCAAATAAAAATAATGATCATAGTATGCAGGACGTGTGTAGCACGTCCAGTCCTTCTGCCCCTCTGCTGCATTCTTCCCTCCCAATTGTCCTCAATTGTCAGCTCTGAAAATGAGCCGGGAGTTGCTGTTTAAATACAGCAGCTCCAGCAGTTAGAGTTATAAAAATAATAACTCTGAATCCATGTTTATCAACACAGTTCAGACACTAAATGAAGAAGTACAAAGTAAGGACACTTTCACACAGGGCAGACTCCGCCTGTGATCCGTTTGCTCAGCAGGGGATCTGTTCTCTGATCAGGAGGACTACATAAGGTGCATCTGCACATAAAGACCCTTCACATGTTGGGGATGGGGGGTGCTGTGTATCATAAACTAGAGACAACACTGAGGCAGCACTTCTGACAGTAGAAGCAAAACACTGTGTGAAAGGAGAGGAGGACAAGAGGTCTTGATTAACCTCCCTGGCGGTATGATTATTTCTGATTTTTGGTGCTGAAAGCAGTACCATTTCTTTACATGGAAATATGTTTTTTGTTTATTGTAGGCCTGTAATTTTTAGGAATAACTCACTGAAATCTGTCCGAACAAGAGTCTAGTAAACATCCCGGGTATGATAAAATTTGAAACACGAAATCATAAATTATAATATAATAAATAATCATAAAAATAATAATATAATAATAATAAAATTGAATTCAATAATATAATCAAACCAAAAACACTGAAATTTGAAATATAGCGCCAAGTGTCGCAAAATCGTTTTCAGTGTCTGATGACGAATTTCCCCACGAATCATTATCACTCAATTCTGCAAGTGGTTCTGATTTACTATCGCTGTTCTCTAGCTGGTCTAAAACCGCTTTTGACCTAAAGGGACGCTTCTCAGTTTCCAGGCAGAAAGAAAAGTAAAAATGTAGGCAGGGCACAGGACAAAGCACTAGGACAAAATGTATGTGAAATGGTTTGTTACAGTAATGGTATACTATGTGATTTTAGTGAATGTCACTTTTTGTCATTTTTGAATCTCCCGCTGTTCCGTCCCCCGTACGTCCCGACACTCACAGGGGACGGAACCCAGATGACAGATGCCGGCATCCGCTGGATTACATTGCCGGGGACACTGCAGGAGGGACATCGCGAGAGCGCAGGACAAGGTAAGTGATCGAGGGATCGTGGAGCAGTGCCACATAGTATTCCCGAGTGTAGCTCGGGGTTACCGCTTGTGGTACTGAAACTTTACCCCAAGCTACACTACCGCCAGGGAGGCTACGGAGTGATCTGCGCATGCTCCAAAATGCATCACTGCCCCCTCCTGATGTCAGTTCCGTGCATTCCACAGCAGGACTGGATGAGCAGAGGCCATCTTGGCACTGCACAGTAAACTCCTCCTGCAGCTGCTGGCCGGCACAGCGAGAAGAGAACACGACAGGAGCCCTGCACAGGAATACTTACAGTATGATGAGCCTCAATTTATCCAGTATCTTTTAAGTGTTTTTAATTGTTTCTTCTGAATAAACAAATGGAATTATTACACTTAGAAGCACCTTCTTTTCCTCTTCTCGTTTCATACAGATATCTGTTTGCTGATCCCCCGCTGACCAGGCAAATGACAGGTACATATCTGCTCTGCTTATGTGGACACAGACACAGCTTGCTCTCCTCTATGGGCAGTCAGATGTAAATGGACCGGCTATCCGGTTACACCCAACTGCCATCTGATCCAGCCAGAAAAAGGGGAACAGATCCCTGTTCCATTTGTTTTTGCCAAATTGATGGTAGATGGTAGAGCAGAATCGAGGGTCTGGTCAGGTTTGTCTGGAAAATGGACAGGCTGTCCAACTGTGTGAATGGGGCTCTGTTTCATTTATCTGCAGATCAAAGGAATAAATGTCTTTTGTAGATGCTGTCAATTAAAGGGTCAGTTCACCTTTTCAGAAGAAATTAAAAGGTGAGCTAACACTGTATACCCTCCCCATCTCCCCAGTCCTTGCTGCAGTCACCTCAGTGAGATATGAGCAGTCATCATGCACACAGCCGATCTAGGGATTTTAAGTCTCCTCTCTTCTTTCTGTGGTGCTTCCAGGAAGGATCAAAGTGATGGTCTGTGTTTGCACTAACCAATCAGAAGAGGGGGTAGTTTAAATTTCTGGACCACTACACTGGCTGCATGAGTACTGACAACTTCTCTCACACAGAAGCAAGCACAGCAGTGTTCAGGGAGAAGGGGCTGAGGGTGTACAGTATTAATTCACCTTTTCATGTCTTAGTTTCTAACTTTTTCAGGTGATCTCACACCTTCTTAAAGCAACCTTAAAATGCAAAAAAAAAAAAAAATTTAGTTTTTTAAAATATTCTATTTAACCCATTATTAATCCTTAGATTACCCTAATCAGCTATTATCTGGCTGCTGGTTGTTATTTATATTTTTATTATTCATTAACAATTAAACTGTTTATTTCTTTTATGTGTGTTTTCTTACTTCTTTTTAGTGTCCCATTTAAAAACGCACAAAAAAAAAAAAACTTTATTTCATGTGTAAATGACGTCACAATGCTTTGTACCAGAATCATAATTTTGTGTAATTTTAAACAGGAAAAAATAAAGAATAATAGGTATATGTTTATTCTACAAAAACACTAT